AATCTTGATCATGGATTAATCAGTATATGTTAAGCCACACTTGTGGTTGTTCTATTAGTTAAATGTGAGGAGAAGAATAGAGGTTGGAATCGAATTTAACAATTTATGAATATTCGAATTAATTCGCTTTAAAAATGAATTGAATAAATTATGTGAATTAATATAAATTCACATAAATTCACATAAATATATATATACATAAATATATGAGATTATGTAAAATTATGCAAGATTATGCAAGATTATGCATGAAATACTTCTGCATAACTCTGTATAACTCTGCATATTTCTGTATAATCTTGCATAATCCCACATATGTATATTTATGTGAATTTATATAAATTTACATAATTTATTCGAATCAATTCAAATTCATTTTTATTTAATTTGAATTTAAAAATTAAGTTCGATTCCAACATCTAGAGAAGAAACCCTTTGAGGGTTGTTTTTCTTGTCTGTTTTGTTGACTCTAGTAAATGGAGAGTAGCCTCCTTTCTTGGTCTTGTTTTTATATTTTTCTTTCCTTTAAGTAACTAGAGTGAATTCTTTTTTGTCATTGTTGTTCATTTCCTTGTGAGATATAAAATCTGTTTCCATGTCTGTTGCTAAATCCTCATTTGTAGATATGTTTGTGGCTTCTAGTTTGGTTTCAGTTATTTTCATCTCATTTGTTTCTGCTATTGCTTCTGTAAGATTGAATTCTTCTGTCTGGATTGTCTCTGTCATAGTTGTTTCTGTTACTAGTTGGAGTATTTCTTGTGTTTCTGTAAAGCTTTTATCAGTGCTTTCTAGAACCATTTCTGAAACATAAGGGTTTTCTGGACTGAATTGCATTTGTATTTTGGGTTCCTTTTGGCTCTGGCTCTCGGTCTTAAGTTCTTTTTGTTTTTTATACTCTTTTAGTCTTTGTCTGAATTCGATTAAGGCTTTAAGATCTTTACAGTCTTTCTTGATATGTCCTGTTTGTTCGCAGTAATAGCATACTTTTGGGGCTTCTTTCCAGTCTGTTGAGACTTTATGGTCGCCTACATGTGTGTATCTAGGGAGTCTTTGAGCTAGATCAGGGTCCTCTGTAGTTTCAAAGATAATAATCTATTGATCTGAGCATACTGATGTTCCTTCAAATAGAAGTGGTTTGATCGATGCAATAGTGTCTATATCTTGGAATGCTGTTTTGACCAATTTATTAATATGTTTCTTTTCTCCTATTGGCATGTTTCTTAGCTTTACTGAAAGGAAAGAGCATTTGAGATTTATTGAGATATAACCAAACAAAGTTTGGTTAAAAATGCTTATTCCTTTTGATGCATAAAGCTTCTGTTTATCTTTGTTAACAAAGATAGCTTCTAGAAAGGTATGTTTTCCTCTCTGCATATGCATTTTTGCTGCTAATAGGTCTCCTCCTAATTTGGTTGCAAGGGCTAAGATAATGTTGTTTGTAGAGATGTTTACCAGATCTTGAATGTTGAAGATGAGTGTATTTTCATTTTTAGAGAGAATTTTTTGTTTGGGTATGGTGTTTGTAAATGTGGCCTTTCACCTCTTTAGTTTAGAGAAAAGTTTTGACTACTGCTTGTTTCCAGCAGGTTGATTTTCTCTTTGGGTCGATTGTAGTCTACTGGTCTGGGAACTAGGTCCATCTTTAGGTTCGAGATCTGTTGTGTTTGTATCATCACATGCTAAGTAGGATTCAGGGCACGGGAAAAAAATTGGGCATGCCCCTGAGCTAAGGCATGCCCTTTTTAAATCATGTGATTAACATATAGTTCACAACTTCTTAAAAATCTCGCATGTTGATTTAGTATCTATGGTTCTTGTTTACCTGAAAAATAATTTTGAACATCACATGACAAGGGCATTCCCTTTGGACTTGAGGCATGCCCATGCCCCTGTGCCCTGAACCCTAGTGCTAAGCTCATGTGTTGTTTATCTGTTTGTTTGTTTATATTTGTGAGAGGTTTTTATGTGTTTCGTTGTTGTTCTTGTTTGAGAAAAAGGCTTCAGAGCTTTCTTTACCAAGTTTATTTTCTGCCAGTTTGTCTTGTTGTTTATATTATTGTCTTGAAAGTTGTATTCTTGCGTATCACTTTCCTCTTGTTGTTTAATATTGTCAATTGACTTTTCTGTATTTGTTTTTAACTCTGCTACAAAGTTAAAAGTTTTTTTTTGAGTTTATTGCTGTCAAGTCTGACTCTTTTAGAAGTTAAGTTGCTCATATTTGAAAGTACAAGGTTTTGTTTCCTTGGAATAAGAGCTAAAGCCCTTCCAGTTGAATTATAAAAGAACTTTGCTGAGTTTTGCTTAGTAATTTTGTTTTTTCGAATTTTCCGAGATGAACCGGAAAGAGTTTTTTTTATAAATAAATAATTAACTAATAAATAAAGAAAATAAATAAATTTTCTATATCTTTTTCTTGGTATAGTGCAATTCAATTATAAAATAGATTTTTAATCTTCATGTAAATACTTAATCTCTTCTATATAGACATATTTTCTTGATCACACAAAATAGTACACTCAATACCAATATGCTAGTTGCTAATATACATATATTAAAGGAGTCAAAAACTCTTTACAGATAATATATTTATTCTATTCTATATGAAATAACAATTTTAGAGTTTTTTAACAAGCTTGTAGAAGGACAAATAACAGAAGAATATAGTACCAATATAGATTCTTCTGATATTATATAATATGTTGAAATAAGTAAAACTTAAAATACAATCACAACAACAACTAGTCTTAACTGCAATATTATAGAAGTTACAGACAACTTTGAAATAAACATATATTACCACCTTAAATCTGATCAAACTTCATCTTTATTTCAAAATAGCTTTAATTCTGATCAATCTTCATCTTTCTTATTTCAAAATAGTTTTGATATAATAATAAGACATAATGAGATTAATTATACTTACCTGTTTATTCACTGCCACCTAAACCTAATCGAAAACCAATTTTACAGCAAGATATTAACTAGATCAGAAATAATAGAGATGAATAGTTATCATTATTGTATACAAATTCTGAAAAACAAAAAATTTGTGATATGCCTTACA